GAGCCTGGCCAACCTGGCCAGCCCCAGATGCAAGGATGAAATCTGCAAGGCCAGCAACGGCAACACAGTTAGCAGGGAAGTGAGAGTGGAGGCTTAGGGAGAAAACACAGCTTTGCTAATGGGTGCAATTACAAGAAGGGAAAGATGAAGAGAAACAGAAAAGGTGAAAAGAAAATACAAGCACCCATGGTGAAGAGCTAAGAAAATTATAGACAAAAACACGCAGGCTTCTCCTCATAAAGAACCTTAAGCTGGTGAGAGATTCCTTCCACAGAGCCAATTCATTCGACATCAAGGGCCAATTTCCTCAATGTGACACATCCCAGGGGCTCAGAAACTACACCCAAGTGACTGTGGCAAGCGCTTCCAAGTTCTCAGGGCGTGGCACAGCGTGTGCCTCCTTTTCTGGACAGCCAGGCCTCTGGTGACACAAACTTTGCAAGACCAACCTGCACTGTCTTGTCACCCACAGACCGAGGTGCTTTTACGTTACATGAGGGCACTGCAGCCGTCTCAGTCTGGCTGAAACGGGACTCTGGCTCCTGCCTCTTGCTCCCCAGGAGAGCAGGCTCAGGGTGCAGCTGGAAAACTCAGGTTTACTGTAACCCGCACCTCCTCCCACCTTGGGGTCTGGTACTGGGAATTCGGTGGAATCTAGAGAGGATCCCCTGCAGGTCAGCACAGAAGGTCTGCTCTATAGTGCCAAGAGGAGAGAGGAGCCTCCAGCAATAAATCATCCCCCCTCAGGCCTCCTGTCTGTTGCTTTCCCTGAAGATGCAGAAATACACAGCCTGCTGTTTTAAATCAGGGCTCTTGTCTGACCTCCTAGTGATGTGACAGATACCAATGTACCCTCAAAAGGAGTATTTAAGAATGAGTTAAAGGAAAAATACAGACTTTTCTAGTCTATGTTTTCCAGTCACATTTCTTCATTCATGTTTTCAGGCTCGTTCTCAAATTAACGAGGAATTTAGCACTTTGACCATTTTGTCCTAAACCAAAGCGTATCTATTTCCAAACTGCAAAACTTCCCAGATTCTCGTAATCTATGTTCTTATAAAAGAGAACTCAGATTCCAACCGTTATTGTTCTTAAAGCTCTCTTAGTGCATGAGCTGAAGACGCAGGAGGAAGCCCCGCTATTCCCACACTTTCTGCCCGGCTCAGGGGCACCACGCCTGTCTGCATTCTCCCACGCAGGAACACACAGTATTCCTTGGCTCAGACTTGTACCGCATGCTGGGAACAGGAGTAATGTTTCAGCTCAGAGGAGGCGCCACGGCTCCCACAGAGCTTCCTAGGCAAAGTGAGGCCACTCGTAGGAAGTGGACCCGGCTCCTACTTGTTATACAACTTGCCAGTTACATGCCCGGAGACAAGAGCTAGGTACTGTGAGCCTCATTACGGCCACTTTACAGACGAGCCAGAATCACTCTCCCTACCTTCCCAGCAGAGGAAGGGTCGAATTAAATAATGGATGTCACGATGGCATGTGCATGAATTTTGGCTCAAATCCTTGGACTTCAACCTTTCTTCCTCCATCCTTCCCTTTTTCTGTCCCTTTTTTTCTTCTTTTTACATCATGGGCCTCTTGTCTAAATTCAATGACCATAGGTATTATAAGGGATTTCAAGACAACTCAAGAGATGTCTTTAAGCTGCCTAAAAGTTTACAGGAAAAGAAACACAGACAACATGCTCTAGGATTTGCAAGGAGATCACGGCAGCTTCCTGTGTAGGGGTCAGGATGAGTCAGGGAGGAAGGGGCATCTGAGCAGGCCAAGATGTCGACACATGGAGTTGATGGTGAAGAAAGGGATGCTGGGAAAGAACCAAGGGTCACAATGGGGCAGAGAGGCCGACATGGGGTACGCACAGGAAGGAAGCAGCTAGAACTCCCTGAAAGGAGAAGGGAGAGACAGCTAGAAAGGTACACTGGACCAGATGGGAAGCCCTGCAGGTAGAGGGAGTTTGGGCCCCAATACCCACCTCAGCCATGACCCTGAGCACCTCAATTCCCTGTCTAGCTAAAAATATTAAGCCACACAGCATGCCTCTGTTTTCCTGTGTTCCCCGCACGCTCACCAGTTAGACCAGCCAGTCCTCCCAGTCATCCATTATCTCTCCCTTGGGTTCCTGAAATGATCTATGGCCTCTGGTCTTGTCCCACTACCGTGCAGAATCTGCTCTCCACACTGGTGTGGCACAGGTAGATCTTAAATGCGATCTTACCATGTTACTCCCTGTGTAAGACGCTGCAGTGGTTTCCTATTACCAGAGATAACACTCTGATACCTTGGGTAAGATGCCAAGTGTGCTGTGATCTGGCCCTCACCAGGCCCCATCCTCTCTCGTCCTGCCACACTGAGCTCCTTGCTATTCCTAAACCACTTGGTCTCTTATGCATCTGTGCCTTCAAGGGATTCCTTCTGCGTGAAACCAAACATTCGCCCTTCCTCCAACTGGACAGGACTGGTCTTCTCTTTCAGATCCCTATTTAATGTTGTCCTGTGTGGAGGTTAACCTTAACTAAGTCAACCTGAATGGCTTCAGAAACACCTGGGAGACCAGTAACACACGCTTCTGGGTGCATCTAGATAGGACATAGAGGCATAAGCTTGGGGACTATATGGTCTCTGGTCCCTTCCTTTATGGTACTGTCCCTGGCTCTGCTGAACTAAGCATTTTGCTCTGCCACGCCCTCCTGCCATAAGGTTTCTGCCTTGTGGCCAGCCAACTATAGACTGAATCCTTACAAACTGTGAGCAAAGTTAAACCTCTTCTTTAAGCCATGGACGTTGGGTTCTGTGTCTTAGCAATAGGAAACCGGATATGTATTCTGGAAGTGCTAGCCAATGGAATTAGATAAAAGAAACAAAATTAGCATTTGTAGGTGTGACTGGTTATCCAGAAAATATAAGAGCAAGAAAGTGAAGCAACTGAGAGCTCCATAAGAGTAGTTATAAGATTAATTAATCTATCTTTAAATACATGCTAACCATTCAGAAATCATGTCTGAAAATGTTCCTTAATCAGAGCATAAGACAAAAAACAGTAAGGGGAAATTGCTTTAAAAACATATCAGGACTTGTGAAGAACTTATATAAAGAAAGGTTTTAAATTCTACTAGAAAGACAGATCTGCCAGATGGCAAGACTCCACACAGTGTAAGTTCCCAGAAAGCACGGGTCCTTTGCTGCTTCACTCACTGCTGATGATACTGTAAAGGTACCAAGGACACTGCCAAAAACAATCTAAAAATTTAATGAGTGATTAACCAAAATACAAACAAGGTTTGCAGGGAAGGCATCAGCCTTGCACTTGAAAACTACAGAGCAAAGGGTGTTTTTCATCTAAGGACATCAGCAAAAATTCAAATATGTAAGGTTACCGATGTATGAAAAATCAGATCATCCAAAATGTTATTCATGGAGCAGCAGTCTTTTGAAAGAGCAATTTGCTTCTATCAACATTCAAAATGTGTATTTTTTGATTAAAGAACTTTTCAATCAAAGTGTGTTTTCTTTAAGCAGCTTCTCACCTGCAATTAATTATATAGATATAGCCACACAATTATGTGAAAACATGTCAGAACTGTACTGTTGGCAAACAGAAAAAAGGAAGCAGTCTAAATGTCTATCAATAATGGAGCTATCACGTAAGCTTCACCCACACAATGGAATACTATATAGCCATCCTCAAGCCAGAGGTACATCTATGCAGAAAAAATGGAGTTTACCATCTACTGTTCAAGGGCAAAGGGCAAAGTGTGGAGAAATATAAGCCATAAGATCCTATTTCTAAGTTATATACTTAACAAACAGAAACATTCTGGAAGGTCACCTTTGGTGATGGATTCAAGGAGGAAACGTCACCTCCATAAACCAGAAAGATGCTTGCTGCTATCTTGTCACATGCGGATTTCTGTGCCCTCTTCAGAAGTGTCCGAGTGAGGAGAAGTGAGGGCCCTGCGTGCCCACAGCCCTCTGGACATCAGTGGGTTACAAGACTGACACGAGCAGTGATGTCCCTGCCGGATTTCCAGGTAGTGGAAGGGAGGGTAGGAGGGAGGGAAAGGAGGAGAGGTGAGGGGAGGGGGGGAGTGGGGGTGTGGCAGGAAAGAGAAAAAGGGGCCTGCCGGGAGACTAACCAGGTAGCAGCATACAGTGCCAGGTAAAAAGCCAGACTCGGAAGCACAGAGGGCGAGACCAGGGTGGAGACGGGAGGCGACCCGGATGGAGAATGAAGAAGATCCAGCTCTCTGATCTGGAAGCTCAGGGTCTGTGACCTGCAGGGGCTGGTATACTTCAGAGCAGCCAGGAAGCTGCAAGTGCCAGCCTCACAGTGTCAACCTTAAAATGACACGGTGCCTGGGGACTCCTCCAGGTGAGGAGGAAGCCCTGGGGGCAGCCTCGGACTGTGGCCTCCTTCTGGAGGCCACACTGGAAACCCAGCTGGTCCGGAACAAGTGACTGTGGCCGTTTCCACTTCCTCCTGTCACTTTCGCTTACTACTTTCCTTGCAGGGTGTTGGGAACAGGGTTAACACATTTAAAACAGTGCAATCGCTGGCAAGGCAGGCACCAAAAATAAACTTGTGCTTGTTTTTCTACGGGGCAGTGCTGGGGATTGAACCCCAGGCCTCAAGTATGCTAGGCAAGCGCCCTACCACAGAGATACATCCCAAGCCCTAAAAATAAGCTTATTATTAAGTTGCCTGCAGAACTTGGTTGGGAGTTCTAAGTGCCACAACCACAGAAGTTGTTGGGAAGTCTGATTCTTAAGGAGACTCCTGCCTCCCCACTTATCTTGGCAATAAATAACCCGGCTGTCTCCCCAAGCATACTATAAACAACCAGGGAGCTGGTGCTTCTGTATTTCCTCCTCCTGTAGAATTCCAAAGTTAAGCTACCCTCAGTGTGCCCCAAGGATAAAAAGCCCTCTCTGATCTCATCTTTAAAGATGAGCTGTACCACCCGTGGGCAGCACCAGAGCCCACTCACCACTGCCGGAGGGTCGTTCCACTCTTCGTAGGAGATGGCAGCGTACGGGTAGATGCGGTCATTGATGATCTGCAGCGTGGCCAGGGCTATGGCTTTGATGGACTGGAAGTACGCTTCCCAGAACCAGCGCGCCTGTGAGGAGAGCAACACTGCGTAAGTGGGCCAGCGAGCGAGACAGGGCGGGGAACAAGCTGTCAATCACACTACCCACGCCTGGTCTGGGGAGCTCCTTTATTCCCAAAGACGGAGTTACTGTGGTGATGGAGAGGGGTCTGGGACAGGCGCCTAGGTTCATGCATGCAAGAAACAAAAGCAACGGTAAGGAGACGGCTGCCAAGTTTATGAAGGTGACAGGACCTGCGAAAGGAAAATAGCACGAGTGCTGAGGGCATAAGATGGAGGGTTTAAATTGCTGAGCCAGTTTTGGGGCACCTCCCATTGGGCCTCCCAGAGCAGGACTGACAGCATGGTGGACAGGACGCCAAGTCAGGTCAGCTGCATCTAATGCCCACGTCCTTCCCATAATGCACTCTGTTGGATACGCAGTCACCTGGAGCCTTCAATAAGCTCCAGGTGAAGAAAGGTTACGGGTGGGGGGGGGTCCCTGGGGCACCTGTGTCCTGCTTTGCAGTTCTGGGGTTTTCCACAGCAGGCTTAGTTTTTTCTTTTTTCTCTTTCTCTGTGTAGTAGACCTTAGGACAAGGGTGGGGGGTAGTTTGGTCCTACGGTGTCCTGCAGGCTCAGGGGAGGAGGGGAGGGGTCCCTTAGCTCCGGCTGTACTATCAATATTAACAGTGTACTAGGGGAAATGCCCCTCTTGTCCAGGCCAAGGCCCCAGTGAGGTGCACCCATCAAATGCAGTAGGAAGTGAAGGGTAGCAAGTGAAAAACACAACAGGTTCAACTGAAATAAAAAGAAACCCCGTGCTGATGCAAACACCGCACTGGTTTGTATTACAGCAAGTTTAGAGTGGATTTTTACTCATGCACCTACTACCCAGCTAGAGAACACTCCAGCACCCCCAGGAGAACCCCGGGCCACTTCCCGGCCAGGACCTCACCCCACTACTCTGGTGTTTCATGTGCTCACTCTTGAATTCCATGCAAGTGGAACGCATCCATTTTTACTCTCTCCAGTTTGATTTCTTTGGCTCAACAACATTTAAATCAGGTTTTGGTATCAAGATTATGCTGCCCTCACAGATTGAGTTGAGAAGTGTTCCTTTCTTTTTCTATTTCTTGAGAAATTTTATGCAAAACTGGATTTATTTTTTCCCTGAAAAGTTTTAGGATTCGTTTGAGAAGCCATTGGGGTATCTTTTTGTGTATGAAGATTTCAAACTATCGATTTTTCTTTCATAGACATCAGGTAATACATACTCTTGTGTGTGTCAATTTTTTAAATTGTGCTTTTCAGGGAATATGTTCATTTCATCTAAATATTAAATTTAATGTAACAAAATTGCATATTAACATTCATTTAATGTCTGTAGAATCTGTAGTAACCCACTCCTTTTCATTCCTGAAATTGTTAATCTAAGTTTTCCCTTTATGCTTAGTCTTCATCAATTTTGTGAATCTTTTTCAAAAAAACATCTTTTGATTGTGTTGGCTTTCTCTATCATGTATCTCCCCTTCCCATTTTGTGAATTTCTGCTTATTTCTGTCCTTTCTACTTTAGAAGAGCTTAATTTTGCTTTCAGCTTCTTCAGATGGAAGTTTAAATCAATAAATTCACCTTGTGTGTGTTTCTAATTCATGTATTTAAAGCTGTAAATTTCCCTCTATATATTAAATGTATCCATGCACTTATATATCATTTTTATTATCATTTATTTAAAATAGTCTGCATTCCATGTCTTTGACTTTCAGGTCATTAATTTTTAATTTTATTTTTATTAGTACATGATTACCTTCATTGTGAAAACTTGATATCTGTATATAACACACATTTTAAAAACTTTCTGTCTGTGTGGGCATGTAACTGCATCTATGATTATGTACATCAGTACATAAATCTCCCCAATTTTTACTTTCAAATTTGTACCCTCAAAGTTTGTCAGAGAAAATCTCTGAGCAGAGAAAATCTCTCTCTGCTGCTTAGCACTCCGCCATCTTCCCGGAAGTACCCACCATTATCAGAAAACACGCTCAGAGCTCAGAGCAGATGGGCACTGACTCAGTCCCGCTCTTGAGTTTTCTCAGAAGGCCACTCCCACTCTGAGGAGTGGACTGTCACTGTCTTCCCTACTTCTGTGTGTCCTGCTCAACTCTTCACGATATAAAGAGCCTGGTGCAGAAAATGTGGTCTAATGTACAAGCTATTCAGCTGTATTTGATTTGTCAATTTTGTTTTTTGGTGCTGGGGATGGAGCACCCCAGCCAGGCCTTTTAAACAGCAGATATTATAACTTTTCTTCTATTTCTTGAATAGTCAGCTAATGAGTGGGAGGGAGCTCCAATAGTTGAATCACCTGTGGGTCTTCTACTGTCTACTTTTTCTCTTCAGTTTGGCCCCTTGATTTCAATTTCTAGTGTACATCTTACTTTTTTACTGGTACCAGACATCCTGTTTAAAACTGTAGGGCTTCTGGATGGCCCAGGGAGCCTCCCTCCTAAAGGCATAACACAATCCTGTGGCAGGCACGGAGGGTGCAGTAAGGCCACCTGATTCCTTCAGCTGCTCCTTACTCCTAAACAGTGGGCCTCTGGACTCCAATGAAAGGATGGGGCATCCTCGGGGAACCCCACCTGCTCAGGCCTTGCACACCAGCCTTTATTTCCCAGTGCTCTGAGGCTGCTGAAACGTCTGTGCTGCTCACTAGCTTCTGGCTGCTGCTTCCTGCAGGCTCCAGGGTCTGCCTCCAGCTGTGTGCATTCAGGGAAGACTGTGGCCCCTTCCAGCCCCACTGTGGTTTTCTCTTTTCTAAAAGTTTGCTTCTCAAATCCTAATCTGCAAGCTGCATAGGACTGGGGCTCTCTGCTAGGACTGTATCCCCAGAGCTGTGAAGTGGAAAGTATCCACAGGGAGAACGCCACGGTGAACTTGAAGCTCACTTCTATGCCATGCCTCTTGGGAAACGGTGTCCCTCAAGTAAAGCCACACTGGGTGCTTGTCGCTCTATGTACGCAGGTGTCTTATCTATTCTGATAAATTTAATGCCCTCCCCTTCTCTCCCTCTCTGGTACTAGGGAGCAAATCCAGGGGCATTCTTCCCAGCCCTTTTTAAATTCATACAGAGTCTAGCTAAATTCCCAGGGCTGGCCTTGCACTTTTGATCCTCCTGCTTCAGCCTCCCAAAGAACAGGGATTGCATGTGCCACCTGACCCAGCTTTTTTAGACAAGGACATTGTTGTAATCACGGTTTACAAAGGAAAAGGTTAAATACAGGACACAATTTATAGCATTATTTTACAATAGTCACCCAAAGGGTCAAATGTAAAAGAATGCAGGAGATCTGACCACACCCTAGAGATCCAAAGAATCCAGCAGAGAGCCTGGATCCCATGGCAGTGTCCTTCAGCCCAGCTGAAGACCTGGAGCTTATGGCCACGTCCTCCTGAGTCCAGCTGGAGGCCTAGAGCTCATGACAATGTCTCATGCAGGTCTGTATCAAGGACCTGCGCTGCGAAGCCCCAAAGGTCAGTGGTGTCAGCACAAGCGGGACTGAAGGATCTTGCCAGCAGCTGAGGAATCTGCACTGTAGCCATTACGTTTAAGGTAAGCAGCAGAGCTCCCCCGAAAAGAACCACAGCCATTCTCAGTGACAGTGAGAACCATGCTCCTCCAACAATGAAAACCCCCAAGTACATATCAGGAAAGTCAGCACAACAAGCTTCTCCAGGAGAATCAACAGCACACCATCTTCCCCTCCGATTCTTGTTATGCTGTTGACAACAATCCTCACGGGGGCCTTCTACACCTGGCACCACACTGATTCAGCTTGGCTGGGTGTGGCAAGTTGGCCATTAGTTAACCCACCACAGGCATTATTCCAATAACAGTTACCCAACTGTGGTCCAATAAGGTCTGTTGAAAGATGGTTACTTAGCTAGCAGAGGTTAATGCTGGCTTAGACAGGCCATGAGCAACTTCAATCGGATCTATTAACCTGCTCAAAACCAGAGGGCTTGTGCATGGTGTGGGACACTGGAAATTTAACACACAGAAAGTAGGGAGAGGAAAAAAGGAGTTTCAGTCTAGATGTGCCAAGGTGACTGTTTCTCAGTCAGTGCCGAGGGTGCCTTTGGAGTTGTGTGACTTGCACTCTCTACGCTAACTCTGAGAAGAAGAATCCTCCCCACTGGAAAAGCAGAACAGCAGGCGTTGTTCACAAGGGCATGTGGCTCACACGTGCTGTCCCGAAGCTGCCTCCTGGGCACAGCTGGCCGGCCGCCTGCTGCTGCTTCCTGGACATGTCCTCCTCACTGCAATTGAATTCCTGCTTCAGCTCATTCTGCTGCTCTCCCTCCCACCAACCAGACAAAATATTTACAGTCCGTGAACCTGAAAGAACTTGTCTTCTCTATGAAGCCTTTATGCTCCCTTCAAATACCAGCAGTGTCCTTCCTGAAACACCCGCATCCTTGAAGCCTTTCCGCTCAGCGGAGTCTATCCCAGGCTGCTCTGAGATGCGCTCTGTGGCTGCGGCAACCCTGCCTTTCTCCAACTTTGGCAGAAAGACCCCTCCCCTTTTTGCATCCTTTGCAAATGTTAAGCGTGTTTCACCTGCTACAACGCACTTTTAAGTCCTTCATCTCACCGCTTTGTAACCACTTACTGTTTATTGGGAGCAAACACAAGCTTCGTTTTATATGGGATACAAAGATATTGAGTGGAACGTCCAACTTGTAATTCCTGACTCTCAATTCAGACCTTCTGCTCTTTCTGGAGTATTATAAGGATCAGTACAGAGTAAGTTTCAGGGGAAATGGAGCAATAGAAAAATTTACTAAGCACCAGAATCCACACATAAACACACATATATCCTGAATACTTTCTTTTCTTTCCAAATAGGCCCATCATATTTTTAAATTTTAAATGATACTCAAATGAAACCAGACTCCAATTTAAGCATGCCCAGAACTGCATGCTCACAGGTAGTCTAGGGGAGAACAGGCTTGGGGGTTCA